AAGCTATAAACTAATAAAAAATACCATAATATTAAGTACTAAGTATTGTCTGTACTCGGTACTTTACGCATTTACATCTAAATAAAACACTCTTAACGGTTTAAAACGAACTAACACGTCGAAACGTAGTTTACGTACGTGCTTTATACCTTTTTTTTATTATTTATGTATTTCTATTGTAAGTGTTTCTTAAAGCATAATCAAGTCTCACCATCAACCGTTCTGGGCGCTAGAAGATTTAACTAAACAATAATATAATTTCCCATTTCAAGCAATAGGTAATTCTATTCCTGTCATAGATAAGCCTGCGCTGTATATCAGTGGTGTGTTGCATCAGAAGTCACAAGTCAGCTGTTGAACTGGTCCCTCCGCATTCCTGAGGGAACGCCGACACGTTTTAACAATCGCACCTAATTACCCATAACACAAAAACCTGACAGGCCTCTTTTCGAATTAACCAGTCAGTGCGCTGCTTCCAGACGCATTCTAGTGTTTCTAATCTTTTCTTATCAATCATATTATGTCTACATGAAGTGACAAATTCAGACAAGAGTTAACTCGATTAGGCTTGATGGTGTCTATGAAAATGAGATATCCGTGAATTCTTTTGTCTCAAACAAATTACTATGTAAAATCATAATTGTCGTATAATTTAAAAATGAAACGATCTCTACTCCGCAACATAGCGACCAAAGTGGTACCTTATCAAAGGTTTAATTGAGATTTCGTACTGCCTTGCACCTAGACAGCAGTTTAGTGACTTATATTATATTATATTATACTTTGGCGCTTACAAAACTATTGTTTGTCAACTTTGTTATTGTATTTTTGTGGCGAAGACATGGTACAAAGATCATGTCCAGATTACTTTAATCTACAAACGCTACCACATGATTTTTTTTCCTAAATACTCCCGAAAATAGACTAACATGTCTTAATTGAAGAAACATTGTTGGCGACTAACATACAAGTAACATAATTCATACGCGACAAGTTGAGAAACGTCACAGGTGGAATTATTACACGAGCCACGAGCGAGGCAATTGCCAAAATTTAATAAATGATATTGTGACACACGTGGATATTACGTACATTCATACATATATAATATGTATGTGTGTGTGTGTGTGTGTGAAACTACGTAAAATTCTGATGGCGCATTTATATTTACTTCAATGTATATTATGATAATAAAATTACTCCTTACCTAACATTGAATATTATTATTACACATTACAAACACGGATTATGTTTGTAGTTCTAATAGATTCTTTAAAGTGAGATGCTAAGTGTTATAGTAACACTCTTTGTCATTAAAAGTAGTAAATGTAATAAATGTCATATTGTATCTGTTGTGAATAGAATTAAACTAAAACTAAAGCGCAGAAATTATTTTAATCAACGTTTACTGAGTGCGTGTAATACGATATTCTGCTTGTTGTCAATGCTAGATTTTTTAAATTTTTTTTTTTAAAAAAAAAAATTTTTTTTTTTTTTAATCCTTCCCCTTTCCCAAAAACCCAGTAGTTCAGCTTTATTATATTAGTATAGGATAGAATAGGATTAAAAACTGGTAAAAATGGAGATCGTTTACTTTTAAGACTTTTGGGAACAAAAGAAACCTTTACAATAAAAACTATACATCTAGGAATATTTATGGTTTAACCTATAAATATTAACTAGAAATCAGTGATAACCTGATTTCGCTATCAGTATTTAGACAAGATTATGAAAGATCAACTAATAGATTATTTGAAGTCCATACAAATCCTTAACTAATAAACGCATATTATATTATTTTATTAAAGTAAAAAAAATAACTTTTCCATAGACAATTTGTATTCGTTTAATCTGTGATTATAATCTGCAAGCATTCTCGTCTGTCAAAATATAAATGACATTGACATAAGGACAACATACGCTTTAGCGAAACACTTTGAATGTTTATAAGTAAAGCATTAAATATTCAATTAACAGGAAGCGTTTAATCTAAATTGTGCAGATTTATTTACCGATAACTGCACCGGCTGATTCTGGACCTGTTCCAATTTTTTTTCCGGAAAGTCGAGATGTTTTTAGGATGTACACATTCCATCTAAATATACCTTTGACGATTAATATGACGTTGGCGCGATGACGACTTGGCCAACGTCAGAATTCAACACCCACTGAATCACGCGCATATTAAACGTACGAGTTTATCTATTCAACAACATTAGCTCACTATTATTTTGAGTCTGATACTTTAAAGTATTAAGCCTTATTTAAGAGACATTTTCCAGGCATTATCGTTTTTGGAGTATGCGTTCTATGTAGTTTGTTTTAATTCTCTTCTTCTTCGAAAAGGTTATTTCTAAATGAAATACTAGTTACTAGACAGTTCTCGTTAAACGCGTATGTTTTTTATCATACCTCATAATAGATTATTGAATTACCTATTTAAAATTGTATAAGACATAACTTAATTTAACATTGTGAAATATTTCTCTTTTCGAAAGAAAGTTCGATAAGATTAGCGCTTATCAAAAATATGTTAAGGCCTAATTCTTAGACAACACAGAAGTAATTGATAACGTTGATAATGGAAAAAGTTGAATCATTTTAATAAAATATAGGCCGGGTCTTAGCTGGACAGTGGAGGGCAGAGAAACATGGGGACATTAAAATTATCCTTTGCAACTAGATTAGTCGATTTATGATGGCTTTAAACATTCGTAAAACGGCATTCCATGGCTTTCTGTGGATGTGGTGGTGCGTGAACCGGGTGGAATATCCATATCCTATGTCAAATTAAAATTCGCCCAAGCCTGACATGTTTGTAAAAAACCTTCATGAGCCTTTTAGCTATTTTCATCTGTGGCAGTGCCTCATTACTCGGCCGTAATTTCAATATGCCTACCATCCAGTAGTATCAGTAAGATAAATATTAAGAAAACGTAACGTAACCTTAAACGTCAAGTAAATAATTTAATTTATTTAGAGCCTTAAAAAGCCTATGAGAAAATTAAGAAAAAATGTCATAGCAAGAAACTTAAGCCTGGCTGGTAAAAATTTTAAAAGCTTTCATACTCTATATGAAAATTAAATGGAAATTTTTAGTCTGTAGCGATTTGTTAGCTGATTTGGAATAAGATAGGTGTCATGCGAACAGCAAGTCGCCATCAGCATTCAGAACCGGCTCTATGAGTCACTCATTGTGTAGATTTTCTTGTATGGATGCCGCTCTGTAGTCTGTGTTGTTTGGGATCTCAATATTTTAATCTAGGTTTTGTTAAGAAATTGAAATTAAATCCAGCGCTTGTCTATGTCTTAGATTGAAAAAAAAAAACAAGGCATAACTAAAACTTTTGTAAAAAAAAAAGTAATTTTATTATTTTAATCGCATTGGCGTTTCTGGGATACACGACCATAGCGTTTCATGCAGCTAATTATGTGACAATTATTATAATTTAAATTTGTGCGCTTGCGCAGAGGCGAAGGAACAAAGATCTTAGAAGTGCGTGACAATTTAAAAATTATTCAATTTCTTATTAAGGTTTCATATTCAGATTTCTTCATTCAATATTCCTTTTAGTAATTTATTGATATTGCGTGTGTAGCCGTACTTTATTTGGCGAAAAGTTTAATTTCACATATAATATTTTTATTATCGTCGGGATAATCAAGATTGCATTTCTTTGAATCACAAAAATTAGTCCTGTTATACATTTGATAATTTTAAATATAGATCTCTAATTACATTTTTTGATTTTTTTTTTTAAAAATGACGCAATTTGACGGTCCAGGAACATAACGCCCTCCCAAAGACAGTACGTGGCAAACTGAATGGGAAAATGAATCAGGTAATAACCGGTGTTTGGCGCTGTACGACCGCAACAAGTCTGGACATGAATCTGAGAGGCGGATGCCCTCCGAGGGACCTCGTGCGATAAGTCGTCTTGTTTATACATGATTATTTTTATTTCAATATCTCCATGCAACGTAGTTCTACAAGGCTCTAACTATATAATTCGTTTATCACTCAAAATCGTATCGTTGTGATTTTAGGGGATGGAATGGCGGCGAGTTTCTTGACAATTCTTCTCGTTCGTTCTATGCCCTTGATTTGAGAACTGGTTGTAAATTTAAATGTGACAGTTTTTATTTCATGTGTACTTAGTTACTTGAATAAATTATTTTTTACTTTAACTTCGAGTCATTTGATGGTTGCTCTTTATGCAAAGTAATGCATCGTCTCAAAATAATAGAAGGACTGTTTGCTTGCAAGTCTACCGACTTGCTTTAGGCGCGAACACGGCCACACAATAAAGATAAAAACAATATATTTAATTCTAAGTCACCGGGTGTCGTGTTGAATACGTGGATACTTAAAATTGGTGTTATCAGTGACATTGCAGTGGAGTTCAGCCTGCGGTCTGAGTTCACCAAGGTTTGGCGCGTAATCACTTTCTGACGTCACAATTTTAATATTGCTTATATTATAAAAGTGTTATTTCGAATCCGCTGAAAACCATTTATAAATCGTATCTTTATATGGAGCTGCTAAAGGCAGAGTGGCCTAATAACAAAAAACATGATTTTCAATAAGGAGGAAAATAAAAATGCGCAATTAAGTTAGACGAAAATAAATTTGTGTAAAAATTATGCAATTTATATTCGGATTTTCGGTTTCTGTGCCCTTGTAGAACATTTTTAGACCATGAAAATATAAATAACTCAAGTGACAAGACATAAATTGCAGTTAGGCCACTCTGCCTCTAGCGGCCGCATACATGCGTCTATTAGCTTAAACCTAATACGAAATGTAATTTCTGACATATGTGACACGTAACGTCACGTAATCGATCACATCCTGTATTTCAATGCATCTTCCCACGTTACCTTCGAATTTTAAAATTGACAACTGTGCAACGTTGTTTCCACGTCATTGGTAATTAACTTCGGCCTCAGTCGAGCATTACGGTGCGTTGACGTCAGGTCATGATTTTGGTGGTTTCACCCTAGAGAGCTCGTTTCTTGTAGATCGTGTTGTGAAAGTCCAGTATAACCCTCACCAATGACGAGGTTTTGGTAAATGCGCGATTTATTTCAATTGCGGTGAAATTTCGGGGCCAATCCGTTAGCTCCGAGCGCAGCCGGGAGATATAACTAGTGTCCGTCGTCTTGCATAGCGACAAGCTATACTTGTTGCCAGGTGGCCGCGTCGCCTTCGAGTGCGCGTGCGCCGCGACCCTCAATACCATTATTTGCACAAAAGGAAAATTCGAGATATCTGACTCACCGTCGACGTTACCCTACATTGCACTTATATAATTTTTTTTTCGATTTTAAATTCATCAATTCGCCCGTCCTTACCTTGGAAGGTCATCCCATGGATTGTGTTCCTATAGCGGCGATCTCAATACACTGATCTCACTGTATAGAACACCGGAATCAAGGCACTAGAACTACGGCGTTTGGGCCTCCACAGCGGCGCGGGTTAGACGAGCGTCGGGCAGGCTGCCGCACGCTCGCTGCTCACGGAACTGAGTGCGCCGGCGCACCATTTGGGTCACTGTCATTCTGTGGTGGGGCGGACACACGTTCGCCTCTGAATATTGGCGTCTCGCGAATATGTTCCGATGCTGACAATTAGGCGGCAATATAAACCTCTATAGATATTACAGATTTTATTACACACATTTTAACTAAAAATGTTGTTTTTTAATAGGATTATTTAACTAAACACTGCCTAAACGTAAACGTATGCATTAATTAGTGATAAAGAAAATGGCGCCAATTATATTTCGACATTGAAGCGCACTTTTTTCTCGAGTTGGCAGCACTGTTTCGTCGACGCGGGCGTTTTCTCCTCCCGATGTGCACCAATGCGCTCGCGCAGCGAATCTTATGACTTATCCGCGATTTTGGCGGTATGGAGACAAGATTATTTTTCACATAATTACTTTTACTTTTACTGGGATTTAAAAGATATATGAATATGGTGAAATAACTTTTTTTTAATAAAGTGTCGTACAATAATACGCATTTCGGATATTTATTATATTTTATAAACGTGGCCAACACTGTACAATTTCAAGGGACAGTATTAACCACGTTTCTCTATTAGACGGAACAGATTGAAATGTAAGCATTAGAAAACTATATACTTTTTTTTACGCATCCAGATTCAGATGCTCAGTGCTGGTACCAAATTCCATTCCGTACCAGTAGGTATGAATTAAGGAGCAATTATTTTAAACCCTTTTAACTCGACTTGTACCAAAATATAACTAGACATTGTCTATAGTTGACGCGATTAGTACACATTTAAATAAAACACTTTAACGGTTTAAAACGCGATATATCCGCGGGCCGAAGTTAAAAATCATTTTCAAATAAGTTTAACTAATATATCGCGTTTTAAACCGTTAAAGTGTATTATTTAAATGTAACTAGACAAATTATAAATAAAGTTTTTGCTTATGAATCAATTTCGTACACATGAACGACTGAATGAGGATAATTTGAACTCAATCCATTCCTTACCCAAAATACATTGCGTCTAAGGACATTAATATTTATTAATAGAAGTTTTCCTTAAAACTATCATACACGATAACAGTTTAACCTAAATAGCTTTATTTGTCAATTAAATGAAACCGGTTTGAACCGTTATATACTAAGATAATTTTGAACTGTTTTTTTTATAGAGGAGTACAGGCAAGCGTGGGGTACACGTCTTGATGGTAGTTGAAATAGCCATAAAACATTTCAACAAAATGCGATATCGACCTATGGCTAATCCACAGATTAAAACCGAAACGCGATAAAGCTTTTTAATCAATTTTAATATTAATATCCATATTTCCGAAGTAAAAACATATTTCACAAAAATTATAAATTAAGACAAATTAAATACTGTCTATAGTTTACGCGAGTAGTTTAAAAAAAAAAACTTTAACGGTTTAAAACGCGATAACGAATAACGCGTTTTAAACCGTTTAAAGTTTTTTTTTTAAATGAAGACAAATGTTGGTGGGAATTGAACCCACGGTCTGTTGATAATTAACAACACATTGCTACCATTACACCAACGAGGAAAATTGATATATTTCCCGTTTAAACTGTTGTAAAAGTTTACCTTCTTAACCTTTTAAAGTTATATAGAACAGACACATTAATATGTCTGCTCAGAAATGGGTATTCTATATATTTGAGTATTTTTAATATAAACACATAAGGTTCAAATGATGGAAGGTGAATTATCCGAGCTATGTAACATCTAAAGAAGATGCACAGTCGACCCATTTTGGCTAAGGATATTCAGAAATCGAGAATGAGAAAACCGTTCACAATAAAAAGCCGTGACAAATCCACATTAATTTACTTTTCTTTCAATGCAAGTTCCTTCTATCTTGAGTTCTTGATGTGTTTTATGACTCATGACATAGTTCCGTTAAGGATTCCATCCTCTGTTTATTACTAAACTGATCAGCTACGTTCTAGTCAATATTCTCACGATTTTGATCGCCTGTGGGCATTTGCAAAATGGTTACAGATTGTTACCATTATATTGTTGCAATATTATATGAATGTTGTTAAAATTTAAAACCTCACTTTAATAAAAACATTAACAATAGTTTACATATGTAATTTTATGTTTAAAAACTTTAACTTTAAAATTTCATCAAGTGTTGTCTTTAGTTTACGCGAGTAGGACACATTGAAATAAATTTAAAGGGTTAAAATGCGAAATATAAACGTTTATTTTAAATTTAATTTCACTATAGCCCAACGAAATTAGACGACGTATTTATAATATGATGCTGCTAGAAACAGAGTGGCCTCATAACAAAAATCATGATTTAAAGAAAATATGCGCAATTAAATTAGACAAAAATTAATTTGTGTAAGAATATGTTAATAATTTTTGGTCACTGTGCTCCTGTATATTAACATTATTAGACTATGCAAATAAATAACTCAAGCCATATAATTGAAGTTAGTCTACTCTGGCTCTAGCGGCCTCATATTAGCTCGGTGGTTTTGGAGGATTGCCCAAGGCACAGACGAAGTCCATTCATGAGAACGGCGCCGCGTCGTCTCACCTAGCAACCGATATTGGCTAGAAAGTAACTGTGAACCCGATCAGACGCGGAATGTGGCCCAGATATACTCAAATAGTCTCTAATAAAGTAACGAGATAACGATGTCATTAGAATGTCTCTATTCATGACACTGTCATTGTGAGAGCTTTTTACGGGCGCTGTGATTTGTGGCGGTAATAACTCAGTGTTTTTCTAAACGGTATTTATTGCGAGTTGTCTATAGTTGCGATAAATGCTATAGAATAGAACAGTTTAATTTAGTACTGTCCGTAGTTTTCGAGAGAAGCACACATTTAGTAGTACACATTAGTTGGTAGGCATGTACCCAAACGGGGGTTCTTGCTGATTTCTAAGTTTTTGAACATTATATATAGATATAAGTTTAAATTACTAACATATCCTAAGGCAGAAATAAATGCGTATTATTCTTATTAATATTAGTTGGTTGGTAGTATAGGTAGTCAACAGTTGCAATTAATGCCATAAGAAAAGGAGAAAAGTGCAATTTTAGTACACATTACGTAGTGTACTTAGACGAAGTCGCTGACGCAGCTAGTGGTTAGATAAATATCTAATTTTAATTGACAGCCTGGTAAATACCATTTTGAAGTTGGCACTAAGCTCTCGTTTACCATTCCAAGTTTTTTTTTGCAAATAAACTTGAAACTGCAGTCTAAGTAAAATAAATGTAAAAAAACAATTTATGCTGTTACTTTGAAACTATTTGCTTGTAATTAATAAATTAAATAACGAAAGAGTTCAATGTATTTTGTTTTCATGTAGAACCATTGTTTTGGATGCTATGGCAGCAGCCGTGGTCCCTGGGGGACCTCAAAACGCCAGGCCGTATTTAAACATTGGTCAACTAATATTATTCGCGTGTTTAACCGTTAAAAGTGTTACAGCTAATTCAATGGGGGGGGGGGAACCCCCCCCCCAAAAACCAAAAAAAAAAGGGCCAACCGACCTATTTTGGGGTTGGGGAGGGGGAAACCCCCACAGAAAAACCGAACCGCGATAAAGCTCAACGGCTTTATCACTGTGGACGGGTGTGGACAAACTTCAATTTTGCATTTTCAGTTCCAGGCGGAGTCCAATATGCTTTAGAAAAATTATAAATTGAAAAATTAGAAACATGTTTGACCTGGTGGGGACGAACCCGCGACCCGTTGATATTAGCCAGACATTGCTACCATTAGACAAACGATCATTTTTTTTCCTTTGAAGTATTTCCAAATGTGTGTTATAATATTTGGATATCACATACAAAAAAATGTTTGCTCGCGACGAAATGCTGTTAAATTGTAATGTACCTACTAGGAGATTTGATTACGCGCCGCTATCGAAGCCTGAACTATTGACCCACTCGTTTCTTAGGACCTTATCTCGTCCCGTGACTAATAATAATTATAATTGTGCAATTAGTAGGAGAAGCAAGATACTTTTATCATCGGTAGATACGACGTTAAAACTAAATTACGAAAGAACTGGATCCACAATTCGAGGGTCGTAGATTCCATTCCCACCAACTCCATCTTATTTCTTATTATATTTTGATGTTTTATGAAAACTGAAAAATTTATTTTTGCATGACTTTATCTGAAAATCTAGATCTAAATTAAATGGGTGGTAGGAATATCGAAATTCCGTCCAACAACCACCACCCAACTGAAAAAGGACAGATTTTTCTATTTATCCAAATATCTAAAGCCATAATAGGTCAAGGTTTACCTGACATCAAGTGAACTCCAGGAAGAAGGCCTGAAAGTTGATGGGACAGACATCAAAGGAAGCTTTTGAACTTGGAAAGGGCAATGGTTATTATTAAAGATGAACACAATAAACTAATAAATAGTTTTAACTAAATGTAGGTAGCGTACCGCTACATAGGTAGGTATGTGTTATTCTAGTTATTGCTCTCAATTTATGAAATACTAGCTGTGCCCGCGACTTCGTCCGCGTGGATCGTGACTTTGGGTAGAATTTTTATTTATTTTATCAATTTGATAAGATTCATGCGTAAATATAGTGTTACAGTGTTTCAGAGTTACTTTCGCATTGATATTATTAGTAAGTTCTATGAAAATTAATTACGATACATCCACACAACTATATATCCCCCATCAATCCCTTACTACCTGTTTTTCGTACAGCAAAAGGTTTTACAATGCATGTCATCGAAAGGGCGCATTCAATTAAAGGTCAAATTGCTTAAAACACAATTCTACAAAAATCAAATAGATATGTCTTTCACAGTTGAACAATTTAGATAAGGTAGGTCTTATTGGAAACGATTATATATTATTTATTAAGGGAAAACATAGCTAGTAATGCACCTATTTTAGTTAAAACGTATTTTAGGAGCTAATCTATTGTCCTTATTAGGTTATAACTATATTTAGCCCGCCATGCGTTTTCCCGCCATTTCAAAAATGTACCACGATTTAGATTCTAAACTAGATGAAAAGATTATAATTAAATTTGAAATCCATTAGAATCTATGTCATTGAAGTTGTTATCTAGTTAATTAAAATCTTTCGAACCAATCCATCTTTATAATTTGCACCGTGCACGCTATCTTATAAATTATCGCTATGCCAAACAAACTTATCAGGAATATATTAGCCAATATAATGGCTTAGCAACCGACGGCGCAATTAAGTTTTTGTTTTATTTATTGTTTCCATATCGTTCAGTTTTGTTTTTTATTTTACTTAATTAAGGTAAATAAATATACGAAAGTTTAAATTTACCTAACAAACTAGCAAACACAATATAGTATAGAAAAAGTCCTCTAAATAATTTGGTTAAAAAACAATTAAACATGTAATATTTACTTACAATTTCTGCGCTCCGTAGATCCTGAACGCTGAACACAACACACCACAGACTCAAAACGAATGGTATACCATAGAGTCTAGACTTAAGTCCGTAGACACCAAAACTAGTTTTCCAACATAGAACGTCTAATTCAATATGTGAGCCATGCATAGAAACTGATTTGTTTCGATTCTGATTTCCAGCCAGTATTAGTATATGAGCACTGTTTGACAACATATTAAGAATGACGCAGGTATAATCTGATTAAAAAAGCGCGGCAAAATAATGGCCTTTTGGGCGGAGCGAGGCGGGACAGGGCGTAGCGCCCTTAGCGCCGCCCCCTGAGTCACCCGACGCTGTCGCAACAAAGAACAAGACATTGCTTCGTCACACCAAGTTTTGCCACTCGCAATAATTGTTATATGCTTTTAATTAATGTGTTTCTGCTATAAAAAATAGCAAATATTTTTTTCGCGCCACCACACCATTTCGTTGTCTATGGATGAGTCACAAACCTGTCTTCAAATCTTGTTCTAACATCCGTGATTTTTTCGGCCTGTCTTGAATGTTATAAAAAAGGAGGCCTTGGCTAGGCCGAGTGTAATGCGAATGCCTTGCATATATTTTTAATCTGACATTACGAAATATTCTCTATGTAATATTATCGTAAAGATTGGACGATTTTTTATTTAAATAAAACGTGGAATAAATGCCACGTTTTATTTTTAATTCTAACGTGTCATATAAATATGTAAACTTTCACCAAAGAGTTTTTACAATAATTTTATTTATTTATATTCTGTGTGTCTGCCATAGCTGATAAAAAAAATATAAATTTAATTCATTGTGTAGACTGCAACACTAAGGTCATAATATATCAAATAAGTAGATAAAGCGCACCTGCTAAAAGTTAATTAAGTTAAAAAGCATTTTGCATAACACCGAATGCATTTTTATATTTTACGGCCGTTTTAAAGGATAAATGACAAAATGCATGTCTTGTCGGCGCTCGCCAGGTGAGTCACAGCGATGACGTCATCTTATGCCTATCCGGAGTCCAATTTTATGTAAGAGGACCGATCGCGCCCGCCTCCGAAGACTTCCAAGAAATGACTCACTTCTTCAATTTTAAAAATATTTTTATGACTTATTTGAGAGACGTTATGGACGCGGTAAAAGACTTCTTTTTTATTTAACTACTAGCTATGTCAGCGACTTCGTCCGCGTACCTAGAATAGATAGTGATATTTGGCATCAAAATTTGTTTTTGCAAACCACTCGTTCAATTCTCTAATTTTAAGCTGTTACCCAAGACGTCCGCGTCCCGTTGTTCTTGCAAGTTAATCATAAAAGATGTTATTTACTGTCGCGTATTTTTTTTGCATCATTTAAAGAGGTATCATACACATTTTTTGGGTATCTTGATCAGTGTACACAATGGAAACTCACAAGGATGAATAATTTTCCCCGTTTTTCCACTATTAGTCGTACCACAATGGGTATATAGCCTTGATAAATGTTGTAACACAAAAAAAAATTCAATTTGAACTCCTGAGATTTCCTGAGATTAGGGCGTTCAAACAAACAAACATACTTTTTAGCTTTATATATTAGTATAGATTATTTTGAATTCAACTTTACATGCTTATTGAAGTTTTTAAAAGATACTAGTTAAGAAGAGAGAGAGAACAGTTTGATTCATGGCTTTTGATCCAGTTCTTTATACCTGGTTTGAAGTTCTATGAATAATTTTAACCTGATGCACAGTTATTGCAATTTTATGTAATATCAAAGTTTTGTGTATGATAAAGAAATGTTTAATTAATTAAGGACACATTTGTTGGAATGAAATAGATATTAATTTCTTTTTTTACATATATAAACTACCCTAATGCGAAAAAACACTATTATTTATGTGTAAATCTGTAAATATGAAAATTATGTTTATTATAAAATTATCTTTAATAAAAATCACACAGTTTTGACTACATATCGTGCTTCCTCGATATTAAAATCATGACACGTAGCCATAATATTGTTACTAGGTTTTGTCTTCGTAACCTTTACTATTTTCAAAAAAATATATTTTACTTTAGATTCATTTCGGCTGTGTTAGTACCGAGAAAGCCATACTTACACAACCATACATTACTGTCTGTATAGAAATATTAAATTCTTTTAATTTTTGCTGCGTGCGATCGGCCGGGTGCAGGTCAACGACCGCCAAACCGCGCTAATGCGCCATCTTGGATTCGTCACGGATCGCGCGCTAAATGTCTTCGCGGCTTTATACTCTATTCCCAAAATATTAAAACAACGTCCAATTAATATTAGCTAAGTTACAATCTCGCTACGTATAATGAAGCAAAATAGTTTACTCGTTTGTACATTCAATAGAACTATCAGAACAATGTTAGGTATAGAAAAAGATCTATTATAAAATATTATCTAATGTTTTTTATCTGTACAGGTTATTATGTGAAATTACTGCAAGATGCTTCTGTGGTTTTCCAATAGATTAAGCACAGCATAGATCAACACATGCTTATCTTTATGCTTCATTGAAATTAGATTCCAATGAAAGTTATAAGATTTTTATGTGATAATAAAAAATATTGAACGGTTTAAAACGCGAAATATTTCAGTTAACTTATTTACGATTTATTGTAACTACGACCCGATTGCATTCTTATATATTTCGCGGTTTAAACCGTTAAAGGTGTTTTATTCAAACGTGTAATGCCCGCAAAAGATACGGACAATACTTGATAATAAACCAGATTTTTTTCATTCTCGGGATTCGATCTTAGTATCCCTTGCGCTTCTGTTGAAGCCGTGTAATAACTGAGCCACTATGGCAAAGCCAATAGGCTTTGCCATAGTGGCTTTGCCATAGAGCTTTCGGAGGTATTTGCCTGATCTTCAATAGAAGATCAGGCAAATACCTCCGAAATCTTTCACTTATTGCCAAATAAACATAGCAACAATAATATTTAGATACCAAACCAGTTCATTATATTCGACCTTGTCGCTGGCTGCTCCGGCGTGGGTCGATTTGGATTTTATTTATTAATAAATGTTATTAGTCTGGTCAACGATGTCCGAACAAGATTAGTGTTAAGGATTGGGCGTAAATGCTACAAATCTTAGTTACAAAATAAGTAGTAAGGTAGCAAGTGATATTAGGTAAATTGATAACATTTAACTAGGTATTACATGATTAGACATTTTAGACACTCTTGCGCAACGATAGGCTTTTAGCGATTTAGTTCTTAAGGTGGATTACAATTATATGCAGTATAAAAATATACTCGCTTCACTCGTTTGTCGTCATTTGTGTTTGTAATCATACGGAAAATATTACTAACAATTGGGATACTATAGATCATCAATAATGAATGGTTATGCGCTGTTTAATGATTAACTTAGGTCAATATACAGACTGAAGTGCAGCTTAATACCTAGACGAATTTCTTAAAATTAGGTATTAAGAAATGAGAAAAATCTAAATATTATAATGGAATACTGTCTAGACTTAAAATTCATAGAATCCTGTTAGAAATGCAAATATAAGCAGAGCTACTTGAAAAACCAGATTTCTATTAGTTATAGGATGAGTAATAGAAACTGGGCGTTAAAAATTTCTAGACGCAGAAAATGGGAGAAATGTATATTAATATTAAGTATTTTATAATTTGGTAATTTACATAATTTATTTATTTAAACTTTTGACACAACACACGCACACAATTACAATGAACTAAAAATAATAATAATATCTATAAAGTATGGAGTGTAACGGGCGGCCTTATCGCTATTAAGCGATCTCTTCCACGCGACCCTGGTTAGTCTCTATTAGTCTTAAAGCTATACGCTTGAGTAATCTTAAAAATATAGCAGTGTTTAGCTTGTATTAACATGTTGTTACATTTATAGAGAATTCGATGCTAATATAAAGCTAAGTAGTTTTATTATCTTAACCCGCTTAAATCAGAAACTCCTGGTTCGAATTGAGTAGGTCCCACTGCTGGGAATCGGACGTCGTAAAATGCGTCGTGTAATTATATAACACATTTTATGATAGAGGATGATAGACAAGCATGGGGTCAATTTAATGCTGGGTGAAATACCCACGCCATATAATACCAAAATAAGATGGATTATCGACCTATTTTGGATATTCTGAAATCCACAGATTTAAAACGAAACGCGACTAAATGTCATGTCGACTTTTTCATCTGTGGACTCGGGACGGAATTTCGATATTCATACTACACATTCAATATCCAGATTCACCCTACCACCATTCACACAATCTATTTCCAGACGAAATCCAACATGTTTCATGAAAAAATATTTTAATTAGAAACATGAAACTGGCGTGGTTCTAAGCCACGATCCGTTGCTTATTACATTGTTACCATAACACCAACGAGCTCGTTCCGTTATTTTCGTTCGATCGATCATGCAGCAAGAAAATCAGGACTCGAAGTCCCAAATCATTTACTATATTTTTTTAACTGATGATGTCTAATGCACTCTCACGGGCAATAGTGACGTGTGGTAAGTCGTTCTACAACCTTCTTGGATACAATATTCGACCAGAACCACTAAACACACCACCAGGTCGCTCGCTACGGTGTTTTAAGGGAGCCCTGAGAACACGTTGGAACGACTAAAAAGCTTCTAGCAACTTATGCATATCCTGAGTCATCTTGTGACAAAATTAACGATATAGGTGACATTCCAAGTGCAAAGGAGAAACTAGTCGAGCGGCATTCAGGGCTCGCCCTGAGTCGCCGAGGTCTGTACCGTTGTTGCTAGGTCTAGCGAGATCTCCGATACGGAAGGGTTGACAAAAATTATAATTATTTTTTCAAGGAAGAGGCGCTTGGGGTTCATTTGAAGGTTAAATTATGCAGCCCTATGACATCTAATCAAAGGGATATATATTTCTGCTAATAAAGAATTGTTATAGCTAGCTGACCTGGAAACGATTACAGGCTGAAGAAGACTTGCCTGTGCAAAATGGAACTATAATTTTTGTATTTTTCATATCCCTAAGTATTAATGTCACTTGGCGTCACAGGTGGGAATAAAAGTCAACACTGAATTTAAAACAAACATGGAAAAATAAAATCTTACACTATATATTAGTCTACTACACTATATATCTTAGTTTACTACACATAACTATAACTTATAACTATTGACTATTATTAGTTTATTACAAGAGT